GAGACAGAGGTGGGTCTGAATTTGGGTTTGAGAGAACATTTGGTTGTGGCTGATAGCGAAGGAGAAGGAGAAGGAGGTAGGGAAGGTCTTGGGGTAGCTGAAGCCCTGATGACCATTTCCACTGCCATCTTTACCACGCTCTCACAGTGTCAGCGGCAGGAGTTGAGTGTTTTGACTGTTGTCTTGGTTCATGGATCACACGGATTTTTTGTGATGGGAAATCAGTGGCCAAGATAAGGGAAATTTTTGGCCAACGATAAAATGGCCTTCTATGATTGGCTTGTGATGTCCGACGTGGCATTCATTCTAATTAATTAAGTAAAAGACCCCATACCGAGCAATCCACTGTGGCCTCTCCACCAACCAGTGATGCTGAACTTAATTATCCAATCGCTACGCCAATCCCGTGCAATAATACTGAATACCAACTCACTACCCCAAATTTGAGAAACCAACTAATGCGACAATGCTTCATTTGTTTCAATTTTTTTGCTTTCTGTTACACCAAACAGTCCCAGGATCAGTAAGTTAGAAAGCATCAAGCGCACAGTGACACAATCAAACAACATTGGCAAGGCCATGGCTAGACTAGACACTTCAAATATGTGCAGAACTTTTGGAAAACAACGAATACATCACTTGAGCACATACGTACCGTACCCTCTTTGCAGTCATACTCATCTACGTATGTGTAGCTCAAGAACTTTCACATCTGAGACTACAAGTCAATTTCCATACAATTGTCTTATAAACCGGTGCAACCTGTATTAGGGTCTAATTCATATCGGTGTGGCATGCCATCTCAAGTCAACTACCAACCATGGTTTTAAACAATTGTTGTGCTAGTGTATATACACTTCCAATGCAATGACTACTCTGAAGATTTTAAATTTCAATGCCCTCATGCATGACTTAGGCTAGAATTTTATTTTATGGCGAGTTGACTATTTTAATTTGGAAACAAAACAGAGGGTTGTCGTGGCAATTTCTTTATGTCATGGCAAATCTATGAGAAATCCAATTCAGAATCTTGGCATTTGGCTGGTCCCAGAGCAATTGTTTGTTTTAGGTGTAGGAAATTTCAGAAAACAAGACTCCCATGTCTACAAAAGAAGCAAGCCGAGCCAAGCCAAGCTAAGAACCAACTGAGAGAGAGGGAGAAAGGGAGAGTGAAAGAGAGCAAGTTTATAATAAAAAAAGGGTGGTCAATGACAAAGTACACGAAGAATCCCAAAAAAAAAGGCTAATAAAGATTCTGATTATTTTCAGAAGACAAGAATTCTGCAGGTATATATTCAAATTTTGAATACAAGTAAAACCAATGAAACAGAGAGCATATTCTGCATTAGGGACTTAAAAAAGACATCCATTATGTGACAAGTGCCAAACTTGTAGTATTTTTAAGTTAAATTAGCATCAGGCAGGGTGAATATAAGTTTGAAAGAAACACTGTGCCTCTGTTTGATTTGGGCTTTTGAGGTGTGATTTTTGTTTCAAGCAGTTGGATGCATTATGCATACCACTTGGAGTACTAATCTGGGGAGTTTAATAATATACTAATCACAATGAGCCTAGCTTCTGTAGACACCTCATTGCTTTTGGACATTTCTGCAACTCGTTGAGCCAAATATTCCACCCCAGATCATCAACCTGGCAGCTGTCAAAATATCAAACTACCCTAAGATTTGCATGATCATGGTGTATAGATTTGGACACATGTCAATTATTGTATGCACCCATTCATGAGGGAGAATTCCAAATCATCTTCGACCTTTTCTGTTCTGCCAAACCCTAGGAAACATGCTAGCTACTACAACTCTGCATCCTACACCTTTGGTCTTATCTTATGTGCCAAACTACCTAACTAGTTCCTTTCCTTTCAACTTCTCCATCATGAAACCGCAAATATCTCATTCTAGATAGGCTAAATATGACACTGAAGTTAGGTTAAGTTTGGTTAATTATGCATCTAATCATTAGAAAAAATAAAAACACACTTTATTTATATAACTTAAAATCTGGTCAAATAAGTACAGAAGGATGGCCTGGCCATGTATATAAATCTGTCGAATGCATGCTGAAGATATATACCGTTCATCCACGCCTTTCCATACTACCATCCATGTCTTTTATAATAATGGTAATTAGAAGAGACCAAAACATTAATGCTTATCAACACTTGTCTTGGCGTTTTCTAAACGAACTCAAAATTATTCATATATGTTAATCTTTTGATAAGAATCTGCATTTCTTGGGAGTTCTGTGAATACTGATTAACTAATATAAATATATGTCATTACTTGGTGAAAAAACAAACCCAGATGAGACAATCAACATGCCATGATCCCTGTCATCATTCTTATAGTACTCACTAATTCTATAATAATACATAATCAAAGATGCCTTCCCTTTCGTTTTAAAGCTAAACCAACCCTTGTAATCTCCTACTCTCGTGGACAGCTTAGACAGCACAAAAGTCCCAGCTGATGACCAATTCCAAACACAAACTTTCCAAGAAAATAAAGAGAGAATTAGTGCCATGAGAAAAGTGAACAGCAATAATATTAGTGGGAAAAGGTTCCTTGGAGTGAGACAAAGGCCATCAGGAAGATGGGTTGCTGAGATCAAGGACTCTTCACAGAAGCTGAGGTTGTGGTTAGGGACTTTTGATAGAGCAGAGGAGGCTGCATTGGCTTATGATAAGGCTGCTAGGCTTCTAAGAGGAAGGAATGCAAAGACCAACTTTCCATGTCACATCATGAATACTCATGAAGAAAATTGCAGCATCTTGAGAAAGAATCCGAGGCTTTATCAGCTCCTTCAGCATGCAATCATGAAGAACCATGCAATTGCAAGATCCTCGTCTACGAAGATTAATCCATGGGATCGAAACCAAATCAGAGGAGTCGATTTCGATACACTTGTTGAAGAAACAATAGTTTGTTCTTCAAGTGGTAATACCTCTGGTCAAGATCATGATGATCATGAGGATAGAAATAAGCTTTGTGCACTTTCATTTGGTGGTTGTAAAGTTTATTCCTCTGTTGTTGTAGCTCCTTCTTTCAGTGCTTCTTCTCAAACTCAATGTCAACAGGCGCATGAAGAAAAAGGTTATCAAGAGGCTTAATTATACATTATTCTCTTTGTCAGCTCTGTGTTTCATCCTAGCTTAGCTAAGCAAATTGGGTTGTTAAGGATCTCTATTTTGTGATCAATCATCAATATGAGAAACAAGAAAACAATTCAAGGAACTCCTTGTAATTAAACTGTGTTATTTTGTTATTTTGAGTTTGGAAATGATTAATTTGTGTTTGTTCTGCCATGCATTTGCCTCAGATTTCAAATATAAGTACATAAATTTATAAAAAGACAAAGGAGCTAGAGTTTTGTATGCATATGCACGTTTTGTATGCATATGCATGTGTGATGACATTCATTACTATATGCGAAAATATTACCTTTATTTTATTTCTTGTACATGTAGCTAGAGAGTTTTAACATCCTACGCAACAAGGACATGTTCGATGGAATCATCACAAGAAAAGAACAGGACAACAACAAAAGTCTATTGGTCAATTTTTGTAAGAACCTCACAAGGAAGAAGTTGTAGGCGTGAAGAGAAAGAAGACTTCAAAATAAAAGGGAGTCTATTGGTACATTATACGATTAAATGACAAGAAGAATTGAAATGACGAAGATAAAATGTGCAAAGGAAAGGAATATATGTTGAATTTTCATACAAAGCATAATCATTAATCAGATTCAGCTAGATTAGAGATTTGAAAAATCATCATTAATAAATACAGAAGCTTGAAATCCCGATAAAAACATATCAAGACAAGAGAGCATGTCAACAACTTTGGCAAAACTAAATGCATCTAAAATTTTTAACCTAATTCTTGTCTCAACTTCGGTTTGTGAAACTAAACAGAAAAGAAAGAAACATATAGCCATGGGTCTGTAATTGTATTAGGGTTTGGTGTGAGGGCGGAGCTAGAATTGTAAAGTTGGGGAGGCCAAATAGAAAATATAAGTATATAAAACACTTAAATATTCAATATTTACATGTTTAGAGCTAAATATTTCTAATTAAGTCATATCTAATTTGTTTTAGAGGACATTTTAACTTAAATTCTAAGTTATTTATTATAAATTCCATATATTATATATAATATAATCGAAGAGTGGTAAAAATATGGGGGGGGGGGGCCAGGGCCACTCCGGGTCTAGGAGTGGCTCTGCCACCGTGTGACGTCCCACTCCCACATTCGAAACGTCCATTTCATGCCTGAAAAGTCATGATATACACAAGTTATATATTCTGTTTATAGAAGCAGCCTAACATACACAAACCAAACCAGTTGCATAATTGACAATTGATTCTGTGTGCATGCAACTTGCAAGTGCCCGTTTTCTGTAGCCATATACATATGACAAATTGGCCTTCGTTATCGTTCATAATATCAACCAACATGGCATGGCCATGGTGGTCATTTTTAATGGCACACCTTGCAACGCCCCCACCACCAGCCTCCCCTTCTCATAATAAGATTCATAGCCATCGTCAATGTCGTTTTCATTATCGCAACAACTATTTCGTCAAAATAAAAAAGCATCATCGTTTTGTTGTGGGGTCCTCTCATGATGCAACAGACAGACCTAACTTATATTCAATGAACCAAATCATTGGACCTGGTTGGCATGCCTTAGAGTTTCTTACCATAACTAAGAACGAGAGTACAAAACGCCAGCACGAAAGTAGAATTAAGTTATTTGGCACTTTCATGATTTTTCATGGTTTGGGACCATATCAAGATCCCACAAAACCATGGGCAGCTAAATCTCGAACCTGTTTAAGAAAGAAACACTAAATTGGAAAACCAGGTACATGCAATAACCCAGTAGCAGTTGCCTTAATCAGATCGGTGATTTCATTGTTAAAATCCCAGAAACCAGAACAACATCGAAGCCAAATCTCCGTCGAAACTGACGAAAATGGCTGGCGGAGAGGGAAAAAAAAACCGCAAACAATTTATATTACTCGATAAAATTACAAGGCAATGAATCAAAATAGGGAGCTGAAGAGAATATCCACAGCTTATAAACATTGTCCTGTCCACCTCCTACCTATTCCACAATCTGATTGGTTCCCATACGATTGTTTCTGCTTTACTAGTTCTAAATATGGTACAAGGAATTTGATACCAGATTCTAGAAGTAACATCAGACATACAAGATTCTCTGGCAACTTGCTACTCCATAACTGTAATTTCCCCTCACGTTCATGAATCATGCAGTAATGACGTTATGTCTCCCAAATGGAGACTTTCATTCCAAGGAACTTTATCCATTAAAAGAGAAAGAAACAAGTTCAAACTTTTGACCACCTGCTCAAGAAAATGACAAAATAATTGGAAGCCGATTAATTACCATGAGTATCCAATTTCAAGAACCAAAAAAGAGGATAAAAAGGAAAAGAAGAAAAAATTCCTTCAGCTCTCTTTGACTAAAAGAAAAAGGGAGAAAAAGATTAACACATAAGACTAAAAGTGACATTGCATTAAAATCCATGCATACATAATTAGGAAACAATACAGCAATTACAAGCAAAGAAGACAACTTAATTCCACAAATACAGAAGTATTAAACTTAAAAGAAAGCAAAATGTTTTGAACATAAAAAGTATACACAGATTTCTAGCAAAAGGGGAAGAGGAAGAACACGACAGAAAACCCAGCTTTCTATTGAAAGAGCAAGTTCCATCACAAAGACCCATGTAAGGTCACTTGAAGACAAAATTCTACCCACAATTAAAAAATAATAAAGAATTCTAAGCATTTAATTCACCCCCAAAGCTCACCGATAAATGAGAAGCACATCAGTTCGGTATCGTGATAACCATTATGACGAGCAAAACAATGGATCAGAGAAACACACACTGGGCACTCTGCTGAGGCAGACATGCGAGTAAATCTTTGAAAGGAAGATTTTTAGTCCAGAAATTCAGTCATCTCAACATATATATACACTCCATGATAATCAACTTTCAGGTCAAACAAAACTGTTAACCAGCATGGAAAATACAAAATTTACATCAATACATTGAACTTGTACAATAAAATATAAAACTTTTAAGAACAAAGCAAGTCATAGATCATCTGCGTGCAGGTTAAGAATTCAGGAAACAAAAGGCAACCAACCACCAATTTGATTCCCTGCAGCCAACCAACCAACAACAGCAAATACAAACAAGATAACAAAGGCAAATCACCAACCATTCTGGTTGCTGCGGAAGCAGAGAAACCAAAAATGACAAACAAAAAAAAAGTCTGTGTCTTTACCTTCTAGAAATAAATTAACAGACTTTTTGCCTTCTGGGTCCCGGTTAGAGGCTCGTACAACATCAAACTTCAAACAGAGCAAGTTCAGAAATACAAGAAAAAAGAAAAACACAAGAATGAGAGAGTGAGCGCTGGATGCAGAGGTTTATCGACCGATTCATGTTTTGTATTTTCACAACAAATCTCAGGAAGAGATCGATGAACCGCTGCCTCCAGTGACTCCACCCCACCAAAAAAATTATTCCATTAAAAAAAAAAAAACCAAAAACCAAAAAATCAAAAGGTCAGTAGCTGCAAACGATTGAACATAACATGTCAACCACCATAGATCTAATCTAAGAAACAAACAGATCTCACAACATTATAATAATACATACTTACACATACGTGTATTTATAGAGAGAGAAAACCAGGAATTTGAAGAATCACGTCACCGGGTTTTGCTCACTCCCTCACAACACACAGAGCCTCTCTCTCTCCCTCTCTCTCTCTCCCTCTCTCTTTGTTTGCTAATAGGGAAGCCACGGACGGAATGTCGTACAGTCACTTTTCCAGGGGCATTTTGGGATCACTGATTTGTTTGAATTTACGTTTTTACCCTGACCACTGGCGCGATCTCTGTCCAGCTCCCACCAATGAAGGACAAAACGACGTATGGCAACGACATGTCGTCTGAGGACAATCTCATTTTGTTTGCAAAATGACCATATGGGGTTCGGATATCGTTTGATATTCCATCTTCGTAATTATACCTCATGCGAATGATCTCAACCATCCATGAATGTTGAATCCTTAGTGGGACCCACAGCTTGTACAGCTCAGATCGTACATGCGAGCTTAAGCCAATAATCCCTCCAGCCCAAAGCCGTCTAAACCGTCGGGCCTGAAATTAATGTCCTCAAAGCTAAGTTGGGCCTGAAATTATGCAATTGGGGCTATTTTGGAGTCACTTTTCTTTTCTTTTGGCTCCACTATTTGGATTTATTATTTTTGTTTTTAGAACAAGCGATAGACAAGTTCATTATTTTATATAATGAGTAGTTTAGAATATCGCTTGTATTAATTAAAAAAGAACTCAAATAACGTTTGATTATGCTATTTGTATTTGTGGATCCCATGAAGATGTGTATTGGTGTTAAGATTAAGTTAACCTTTGGTGGAGTGGAGAGGAGTTTAAGGTTTTCTTTTGTTCTTTGCCTTTTTGACAGGAAAAAAAAAAAGATGAGACGCATTAAGCTAACCACATGACATGGGATTCACTTTTACACACAGGAATCTCAATATTTATCTATACAGGAACAGGATGACGCATAAGTCTGCTTTGTTGATGAGGCCATGTATAAGCAAAGCAAACTCCACATCCTCAAAGTAGAGAAAAGATAAAGAAGATGAAAAGAAAGCCACTGCTTTAAGCCCTTTCCACGTTGTCTTCCACTCATAGGCATTGGCACTTATGGACAGGGCAGGGCAGCAAATGTGTTAGCTTATCATCTAACTCTTACAACAAAAACAAAGCACAACATAGACATACAAGAGCCATGGAAACATCATCACAAACTCTGCCTGATCAGCAGCAGCAGCAGCCAGCAGGACAAAGCTTGAGCAGTAATTATCCGCAAGCCGTGCCATTATCTTCTTCTTCTTCTTCTACATCTGGTTCTGGTTCCATTGGGCCATTCTTTGCAGTGATCTCTGTCCTAACGGTGCTTGCGTTTCTGTCGTGCGTTTTGGGGCGGAAGTTGAGTCGTGATCAGACGGTACTGAGGCCATTGGAGAGCATCAACCATGGCCATAGGATTAGCTGTGCAGGGTGGTTGAAGCGCAAGTGCAGGCAGCTGCAGTGCATGGTTTCTCATCATGATCTGGACGTTGGACCAAATCTAAAGGTGATTGTGGATCCTAAGGTTAAACAAGGTGAAGAGGTTCCTCCACCACATACACCACCACAGCCTTGAACTTGAACACAACTTTCAACTTTATGTACGTGGTTTTTGTTGTAAGTGGAGATTATAGCTAGGGAGATGATTCATGTACCATTTTAGAATAACCGACCACTCTCTGCTGCTGATCAGCTGGGAAATTTGTTTGATCATAAGATTGATATATTTGAATGTGAAAATCTTTTGGTATCATTTGTTGGGAATTTTGCCACCTCAGCTGAGCTGTACATGGGATCCAGCCTTGCACTTGACCAAATGAAATATATATCCCTCCCTCCTCAATTAATCTTTTCCTTTTTTGATTAAGGTGCATTGATTCAATGAAAAGAAATGAAGAACTTAATGTGAACTATAATTCAGATCTTACCAAGAAACCGGGGCAAAATTTTATAAGACAATGCCAGAATATAAGGCCAAAATTTAGCTTCCCTCCTAGAAGTAAGCACGCATGAAAAGAGATCCTTCCGTTCCATATGCGTGTGACAAAAAAGGCAAAAACGAAACCACCGACTCATTTTCCTGTCCTTAGGTGTCTCCACACACCATATTTAGCCTTCAAATTTTCGATCACCACCCAAAAAATCACACCCCCTCTCTCTCTCTCTCTCTCTCTCTCTCTCTCTCAAACACATTCAGCACCTCCTTCTCCTCCTCCTCCTCCTCCTCCTCCTGCACCACAATTGTCACATTGTGTTACAATCTCTCTTGTCATTTTTGTGTAGATTGTGTCATATTATTAGTTGTCATTGTTGTTAATATAGGACTAAACTAATGCCTGCACTAGCAGTTGATCAACTTAACCAGTTAAGAGACATCTTTGCAAGATTCGACATGGACTCAGATGGCAGCCTCACCATTTTGGAGCTCGCTGCCCTCCTCCGGTCCTTAGGCCTCAAGCCCTCAGGTGACCAAATCCATGTCCTGCTAGCCAACATGGACTCAAACAGAAATGGCTCCGTGGAATTTGATGAATTGGTCAGTGCTATATTGCCTGACATGAATGAAGAAATTTTGGTAAACCAAGAGCAACTATTGGAGGTTTTTCGGTCCTTCGATCGTGATGGTAATGGATATATAACTGCAGCAGAGCTAGCAGGGTCCATGGCCAAAATGGGTCAGCCGCTAACGTATAAGGAGCTAACAGAGATTATCAAAGAGGCTGATACAGATGGAGATGGTGTCATTAGCTTTAATGAATTTGCCACCATAATGGCAAAGTCAGCCTCAAGTTTTCTAGGCCTTGCTCCCTCATGACCAGAGGTTCCTGCTACATGCTATAGTTTTGGCCCTGTAAACATGTTAATCTTTATTGCATTGCATCATCCCACGAAGAAAAATGAAAATTTTCTCATCTGCTTGACTAATCTTAGATTATACTCTTTTTTTTCCTTTTCTTTTCTGACCACCAAACTAATATGCTGAGTACTTTTTTCTTTTCTCCAATACATTTCATTGGGTAATTTTGTTGCTATTAGTTTTGTGTTTACAAATAATTGAACAAGAGTCCCTTGTCAATGAACAGGGATCCAAATTACCTACAGAATTTTTTATATTTTTTATTTTTGGTGATATGAGGACCTAATCCTTTCTTTTCTAGATTTGTTTATAGAATTAATCTGAAACCTGCATTTGTTTATAGATTTGTTTATGCACAATGGCATTGGTATATATTTTTTGGATATCTTTTCTTAATTTTCTTTTCCTGTGAAACTAACCAGTCATCTTTGCTTCAACCTTCCTTGAATTGTGGTGCTTCTAAGTTTCGCTTTCTTGGATTTGGGACGACGATGCCCAAAGAAGAATGGCTTCACAGAAGAAATACATTGTTCTGCTGAAGAGATTTTCTTAGTTTGTAAAGCAGAGAAAGATTGTAATAAAGTCATTTAGGAAGCAATAGCATCAGCTAGAAGATACAATAAAAAATAATAAAAAATTCTTATTGTGCGTTATGGTACATCTGATACATCATACATGATACAAAAGGTTGACCAGACTATTCTCTACATGAACTCCAAAATTCAAAGCTACAGTTTTGGAGCTTCTAGACATTGAAATATCCTAAGCAAAAACTTGGAAGGACAAACCTTAATCCCTGGGACACATTTGCTTGTCATGGAGCACAACTACAAGACACTCTATGTAAAAGAGAAAAAACTCCTCTTTGGAAATAATGTACATTATCTTATGATAAGAATGTGAAAAATTAAAGGCCCTCGAGCTTCTCTTCAAAGCGTTTAGATGTCGCTTCAATGCGGGCTGTGTAACCTACTGTTGTGGGTCTTATGGATCTCTGGCGCACCATATGACAGAACTCAGGGTCATCTGATTGCCCATCTGTTCTTATCCACTGTATCATCTGATGATACATGGGGAAAAACCTCATTTGGATGGCTGCATAAGTGAAATATGGTAGGAGGGAAGAGACCAAAACAAATAGAGTGAGAAGCCAATAAAATGGAGCTGGTGCACAGGCTTCAATGAAAACCTTATAGGCAGTGGTTGATATGTCAGGGTCCAAGGCTCCATATGCCAACTGGAAAATATACCAGAACACAATGCCACCCCAGATGAAGAGATGTTGAATATATGTGAAGTAATTGATGGATAGTGCCATTTGACAGTTCACGACCCATACAACGCATGAGTACATCGTGGCCCCAAAGATTTCGAAGCCAACAACTTGCCCACCTTTACGAAAAGCTTGACTACCCATTGCCACGAGGCAGAAGAAGAAGATTATGGTAGCAGTCACTACCCCATTCATTGCCCATCCAAGTATCCGGAGCCAGCTAAATAAGACATTTTGTGCACCTTCTTGGTACAATAGAGGGAACTGTAACATTGAGACAAGACAAAGAGAGACTAAAGATCAGCATATGATCATATGATATTAGGTATGGACACAGGACATAACCATTTTTAACCAATTATTTCTGATGTGAAATAAGCTTCTATGAAGAAAACAAAATCTCCATCTACATGAAATGACAAATAAAAGGAATAAGTGCATGGACCCACCTTGAGACAGAACTTGGCTGAGACATCTTGATCAAACACTCCCAAGGCAATTACCGGAAGTGATGTGAAGAAGACATTATATAGTGACAGATACCAATCATTGTATGCAGTTTGTCCCGAGAATGAAGCATAAATCTCAAAGAAGAAAATAGTAAAGCCAAAAGCAATGTTCTTGTAGAAGAAATAGCATATCTGTCAAAAAAGGAGAGGAGTACGTCAATCATTTCAGCTTTTCTGAGACCATTAAAATTAAAAAAGCAACATTAGATTCTAAATATAAGGAGTCTGCATTTCTTTGCCTCTCCATAAGCAGGATGGGATTGCACCCGAGGCAGTGTGTTAGCGTGAGAACATTTCTTAATAACATAAGCTTCTGAGGTCTAACAATTGTCTAGCAAGAATGATGGAATCCACAAAAGATTCTAGATCCATCACAGGTTAATACAAAATAAAATACCATGAAAAGCTAAAATTCAAATTTTATGAAGAAAAGAATTTACCATTGATGAGATTCTTCTGTAACACCAATGTCCATGTACAAGTAACAGGCGCTCCAAAAAACAGAACTGTGCAATTGCAACATCACTTGACATGACTGCCTGAAATTTTGGGTTGGCAGAAAGGATAAGTCAGAATTCATCAAGAGAAACAAAATTTCAAAAGGGAGTAACTCATGATGCAACAAAAACACATGGTGCAACTTGTTAAGAATTTACCTGCATTCCTTCAACACCGCTGATACCAACTCCAATATCTGCCTCTTGAAGCATTCCAACATCATTTGCCCCATCACCAATTGCCAGAGTTGTGTTGCCATTTCTCTCTTTTACCAGTCTTGTAACCTGCATTATTTTAAATAAAACTATTTTGGACTTGATTCTTTTTAAAATCATAGACTAAGAAAATGGTTTAGACGTGTTGGAACTTATTTCGGGGGAGGGGAACTTACAAGTGCTTTCTGTTTGGGAGATGAACGACAGCATATAACAGATGCGCAACTGATGGCAAGCTCTATAAAGAGGTCCTTGACATCTTTTTCTAAGGCATAAGTGAGTGAACTCCCATCAATAATCAAAGCCAATGCCTCAGTGTTCTCATCTGGTGAAGTGAGCAAAGCCTTTCCCTCATTTATTTGATGGACAACACTTTCCTTCAATGCCTAAAGAATCAGAAAGGTTTCATCAAACACCCACAGCATGACAGTTATCAGCCAGGAGATAACAGTTTTAAACACTAGCATGCTAAAAGTCCTAGTTAAGCGTCAATGCAGTGACCAAAACAAGTGTCTAGAAATGTACTAGATAACCAAAAAAAGTCCTAGGTGCAACCGTGCAAGTGATATGCTCTGCCATGGTTGTTTTATTTGTATAGTGGACAATTATTGTTGAAGTGAAAGGGACAATCCTAGAGATTTGTTATAACCCTAAGTTCGCCCTTCCTATCAACTACCTTTAGTGCACAACCAATACAAAAGGAAAAACAAATATCCCATAAGAAATTTGATTTACCTTGGTAACCATGGACTTATCCTCCACCTTCTCTAATGCTTTAACTTCTGGAGTCTCTGAGCTTATTACTATTTGTTTCATTCCTTGTCTAAGCAAACTGCATGCATATCTGGAAGGAGCAACAACAATGAAAAGGTATACGGTGAGAAATGCTTCTATACTGGAATCCATCTACTGATACAAATCAGTCACAAATCATACCCAATATTAATTGCCGTCTCCATTTTATCTCCCGTCAAAACCCATATCTTAATTCCAGCCTGAGCAAGCTTGTCAATGCATTCAGGAACCTATTCAGCACAGAAAGAACAAACAAAAAAAGAAATTTAGTCCTGAACAAAATACAAATCTCCAACAAAGTCATTATCTGTATTAACTACTGACCAAACCAATATGTACTAATGTTTGGTTTGCTTGGGAGCTAAAAATATGTAGTAATTAGAAGCAAAAGCAATGCAGTAATAGTTTTGCTGACAACCAAGACTTTACAACTCATTTATGCAAGTATCTGAGTCATTTTTTCACTGTAATGTAAGTTAAAACTCACCCCATTTTGAAGTTTGTCTTCAACTGCAGTAGCACCAAGAAGAATCAAATCCCTCTCTATCTTCTCTGAAACTTGCTCGACAATTTCCTCCCGGTCTGAACTAACCAAATTTTTGGCCTCAGTAAATTCTTTGTTGAATTCAACATATTCTTCTTCATCAAGTTCACGATATGCAAGTACCAAAGTCCTCAAACCAGCATCAGCATACTCGTTAATGTGTTCCTTAGTCTTCTCTTCGAACTCCCTTCCATTCTTTGCAAGTCTTTCGAACATGACACTGCTTGTGGGATAAACAAATAAATATCATGTTTGTCTAAGTTTAGTCAACTTCTGAAATTAGGAGCACCATAGTAAAATGAACTCTGGCACACACTTTCAAGCGAGGAATAAGTTTACAAACCTGTCAGCACCTTTACAAAGCAGTAGTATCTTTCCCTCTTCAGTTCTTATGATCACAGACATCCGCTTTCTAGAACTACTGAATTCCAGTATGCTCAAAAGCTTATAAACTCTGAGAACAAAAAAAAAAATGTACGCACTTAAAATATTTATTTGACAAAAACTCAACAATAGCTTCAGAACAACATATATCATAGCGGCTAAACTGCAGTAATAAAAATAAATAATAAATAAAAAAACCCCAAACATGTTAGAACAGAGAATATAGTACAGTTATTTTATCCATATTAGTAAAAGTCCAAGTGCAAGAAGCTGACCTTTCAACCTTCCTTCCATAAATGGGATCCAACTCATGCACCGAGATGCTTGTTTGAGTCCTTTTATAAAATTCAAACCCCAGCTCTCTTGCTGCAATCACAAAAGCTGCCTCATCTGGTGATTCAGCTTCATATGATACTCTTCCGGTTTCTTCATCAATATCAGGTATTGCAGTATGACAGATAGCTAGTAACTGTAGAAACTTCTGGATTATGTCTGCACGAGGCTCATTAACCCAATGGCCATTCATGATCCTTTCATCCCTAAAATTAAAGCCCTTTATCAATGACTTGGCTTCAGTCAAGTCTTCAACATGACTCTCTTCTTCTGTCACCTCTTCAGCTAAAGATGACTTAGATGAGCCTTTTCTCCCGGCTAAAGCTCTCTCAACTTCTGTAACTCCACGCCCAAAAGCAGTCCCAGCAATGGAACACTTGATAAATTCCATTGAGTTGCAAGTCAATGTTCCTGTCTTATCAGAAAGTATAGTATCAACTTGGCCAAGTTCTTCATTCAAGTTCGAAGTACGCGCTAGGGCTGGCTGGTCAGTTTCCTCATAGTACATGTGCAGATCCTGGTTTATGAAAGTGCACTGAAGAACTTTGACAATTTCTATTGATACATACAAGGATATGGGAATCAAATAACTATACAACATAATGGCTGTTAAAAATTGCAAAATTGCTGCAACTGGTGCCTTCGTCGGATCATAGTAAACTGTGGTGTCATCTGGTCTGAGGTACCATCTTATCATTCTTCCATTTTCGAGGTCTTTCCTAGTTGTAACCCCAAAGACAGTGGCCCCAACAAATGACATCAAAACTAAGAGGAAAAACAAGAAGTAGATGATCTTATCCATCCTCCTCTCAACTTTGCTTCTCTTGGAAGGTGGAGCTGTTGAGTTTTGCATAACTTTTGTGTCATGACCTGTGAAGATTACCACCCCATACACAAAATCTGTGTTTCGTAGCTTGGAGTCCCTAAGCAGAAGCTGCTGAGGCGTAAGAGGGTATGGTTGCTCTTCAATCTCCAGACTGCCTACAAATGAGTACAAGTTTGCATTTGGGTCTTCACATCGGATTACACCCTTGAAATTATTGAAGCTCGAATCTTCATGCAGATTAGAAGTTGCTTCCAATGCTTGTTTTAATTTCAAATTAGTTTCCCCATCAAGATTGGTGGTCTCTA